CCTCTGGTGGAGGAAGGTAGACAGCACCCCAGATCCCAACAGAAGAACAAACCATCAGGAAGGGATCCTCGGCGCCCTCTGATGGGCAAGCCTCTGGATCCCAACAAAATTCTAATAATGACATGCGCTGGAACAGACATGGTTACTGATAGGTCCTTTGGATCTATTTCATTTTTTTTCTTTAAAAATTCTGTTTTACTAATTATTCAAAAACAATAAGGTGACAGCTTCATTGACATAGGATCCCAGTTTTCATCTGCTAAATGTTTTTTTTCTCAACAAAGAAAAAAATGGCTTTTTACAGATTAATTTAACAGTTTTTCTTGAGTTCTAATTCAAATTTAATAGAAAACGGTAGTTTTAACTTAAATTAAGTCAACAATATGTAAAATTCCTAAATTATAATTGTATAGTGACCTCATAAGAAATAGAATTTCTATTGAACCTCATTGAAAAGAAATTTCACTTCATGCAGTTCTCCTAATATATTTTAATCCCTTGCCCTGATTATTTATTTCATGCTTTTCTGGGCCCCCATGAAAACACGTTGGCCCCTGCTGGCCCCTGCTACATTTGGTCTAGATCCGCCACTGTTCCTCACCTTCACTAGATGTGGATATACTTTAGTATATTCTGCTGTAAAATTAGTCCTATATTTTCGTTTTTTACTGGAGGATTCAACCTCTGACGTTTCACAGGATGCACAGCTTTGAGTGGTAACTAGGTGACTGCCAGAGAGTAACTTTTCTGACTGATCCAATCAGCTCTCTGACAACCAGCCGCCTGGAACGCTGGTTGAACGGAGCATCGCTTTGGACAGATACGCTGCACAGGTTTAACGCTCTCACTCGCATTAAAAAACATCAGCTCCCAAAGTCTAAAATCCGGGATAATTTATCCGACTCACTGGCATCCGTGAACAACTATCTATACCAGGGAGACTCCCAGAACTTCCGGGAGACTTGAGATGTCTGTTATTACAGTGATTTACTGACAAAAATATGCATAAGTATCTTATGCAAAGTTCAATCTTACCTAACTGCCGGCTACGCTTTGGAAAAATACTTATAATTCAAAGTATCAATAATTACATCCATATTTATGTACAAAAAAGTCTCACTGATCATTGTAGATTGAGTACTTTGTTACTGTCTTAGCATATCATAAAAATAAAATCACTCTATCTCCTTTTACTTTATCAGAAAATAACAATTTTATATATAACACAGGTCAGGTGTTAACTAATGGTGTACCTTTGATAAATGTTCTTGGCCTACTTCATATGAATAGGAAAATAATATGTGGCTCTGGTTTGTTTTTTACAGCTTTGGGGATGGAAGTATTCTCTCTCTTTCATGATCACAGTAGCTCTTGCAGGCACACCGTATATTTCTTTGCTTGTTTCGTAAAAAGATTCACTTCCCCTTTTTTCTCCCCTTTACAGAGGTGACACATCCCTTCCTGTTTTTCTCCAGACAGTCACTTAAGGCTTCAAATTTTAATACTTTATTCTTTAGTTTTTATCATTTTTAATGATGATTTGCAGGGAAACATGTCTGACATCACCTCACTTGACAGTGTTAAATTATAAAGAAGCAGGTCTTCTTTTTAAGTAGCATCTGTTTCATGCTACTCACACATCATCTTTTCCAACCTGCACATCTGGAAGGCAATGTGTCTCAGACTGGTACAAAAAAAAGTTTGAAAAATATCTTTATTAACAAATGTAACTGCAATAGTTTGTAAATTTCTATTCAAAAGATCCACTACTGATGTATAGCTAGAATTGTATGACTGACTTCATATTTAGCGCAGAACAGTAAAAGTATGGCAAGGCAAAGGAGGGAAGGTTAATTTCTATAACGCAATTCAACACAAAAATAATTCAAAGTGCTTTACACGAATAACAAACAACAATAAATAGATTAAAAAAACAGAATGAAAGCAGAATGAAAACAGAATAAAAGAGGGTAGTAAAAGAAATTAAACAGTTGAAACACAACCGTAAAATAGTAGTACCTTGGTTAGCAGTTTAATGTCAACGGTCAAAGGTAGTTCTAAACAACTGGGTTTTTAACTTTGACTTAAACCAACATTTAGCCTTTTAACATAAAATATTTTCACAACTTTTGTTATTATACATTGACTTACAACTAGCTGAATGACACCTCTGCTATGGCCTGAGGGGGTCTGTATGACTTTCACTTAGAGAAGCAGACGTAGTGGGTGAAGTGAGGAAGCGACCTGGAGGAAGAGCCAGGGCCAAAGATAAACTACTGCATTATAATTATTGATCTTTCTCCTTTTATATGATCATTTATATCAGGAACGTAGCCAAAAGAACACAGAGAACCTGTGAGAACTACTGGACTGCAGAGTTGGTTTTGAACCATTTCAATTGTTAAACTATTTCAAGGATACTTTATGAATGTATCTATTTAGTTGTATACTCTGAAATAAGAGTGCAGCTCCAACTTAAATTTCAATTCGATTCAGTTTATTTATATAGCGCCAAATTCACAACACATGTCATCTCAAGGCACTTTACAATTCAGATCATACAGTCAAATTGATTCAAAGTTTTCTATCTAAAGGAAAACCAGCTGAGTGCATTGACTCATTGACTCAAATACAATCCCTCACACTAAGCATGCTTGTAGCGACAGTGGAGAGGAAAAAACTCCCTTTTAACAGGAAGAAACATCCAGCAGAACCAGGCTCAGTGTGAGCGGCCATCTGCCGAGGCCGACTGGGGTTCATGGAGACAGAAGCAGATATACAAAAAGCAGCTGCAAATGGCGGCCCCGTCCAGGAAACACACAGCCAGGCAGACGAGCTTTGAGCCAGCTCCCATGCCAGAGGACGAAGAGAGCACATCCAGTCAGGCACGGTCAGAGAAACAGGACC